GGGGGGGGCTGCAAGGAAGGTGGGGGGGACTTTTTACAAGGGCCTGTAGTGACAGGACAAGGGGAAACGGGTTTAACCTGAAAGAGGGAGATGGAGATGGGACATCAGGATGGAATTCTTCCCGGGGAGGGGCTGGGACAGGTTGCCCAGAGAAGCTGTGGATGCCCCATCCCTGGAAGTGTCCAAGGCCAGGCTGGATGAGGCTTGGAGCAACCTGGTCTAGTGGAAGGTGTCCCTGCCCATGACAGGGGGTGGCACTGGGGGGGCTTTAAGGTCCCTTCCAACCCAAACCATGATGGAATTCTATGTCCGCCTCAAAGCCAGGGGAGGGGCTGGGACAGGTTGCCCAGAGAAGCTGTGGATGCCCCATCCCTGGAAGTGTCCAAGGCCAGGCTGGATGAGGCTTGGAGCAACCTGGTCTAGTGGAAGGTGTCCCTGCCCATGACAGGGGGTGGCACTGGGGGGGCTTTAAGGTCCCTTCCAACCCAAACCATGATGGAATTCTATGTCCGCCTCAAAGCCAGGCCTTGGAAAGAGAAAAGGGACAAGAACCACTCCACAGCGCCTCAACTGCAACAGCTGAAGCTGCCGAGTGGGCTCAGAGGGGAAGCAAAGGAACGGGGGACTTACGTGACAGGCCACCAAGGCACCCGTGTTCCACCCGATCAGGATGATGGGCTTGTGAGAGAAGTGGCTGTGAATCTACGGGAGAGAAAGACTCTGATAAGGAAGGGGGACAGCCAAGGGGACGAAGCAGCACCTACAGGCACACCAACAGTCGGAAGGGAGCAGCGAAGGCTCCCCCCGAGACGCTGGCAGCTCTTCCTTACCTCCGCCACTTTGCCCCTCACCGCCCCGATCATGTGTTCGAGACACTGCAACACTCCCACCCCGCTGCCGTTGTTCAGGAGGTGGGTGGCAATGGGAATCACCTGCCATTTGAAACGAGAGACGGATAAATAACGAAGGCGTTACTGGGAACAAGAGGTACTGACACCAACTGGCACGGACTGGAACCCAGTTTGGGCACAGACTTGTGCTTTCGCTCACCCTCCCTCCCGCAGGATTCACTTCTAGCTGCTACAAACAGAGGAAACGGAGAATTCCCCACGGAAACAACCTCTGCTACGCACCCTGCTCCCAGACACCAGCAGATTTACCACAGCAGGAGGTGTGGAGAAGTTCTGCCTGCGGTCAGAGGAGTAAGGCAACTCATCCCTGCCCCTCCCTACCAGAAGGCTCATCCATCCTTCATGAGAGTAACGACGCAAACTGCTGGATGATGGATGACTGATCAGCAAGAGACCCCAAATGCATCGGATTTGGGCAACTCCACCCCCAGTGCGGTGTTTCACGTGGCAAACGCTGCGGGAGGCAGACGCCAACCTCTGCTCTGAGCAGAGCGCAGTACCCCGGTGCGCAAACCCGAGCTCAGCCGCCGCGGTCCGAACTGCCCTCCTTTTCCAACCCGACCATACGAACCTTTCCCAAGCAGGAAAGCTGCGACTGCCAGAATCGGTGCCGTCGAGAAGTGGGGAACATGGAGTTGGAGGGTCCGGAGGAAGCAATCAGGATGAGGGGGGAGCCAGGCAATTTGCTCTACAAAGTCCAACGGGGAGATGTGTAAGAGAAAGCGACTCCCGCGCCCGACGCCCGGCTGCCCAGCGGGAGGGACCTTGCACAACTCTGATCCCACTTTCCGCAGCCGCAGCTACCCCAGGACAGTACGGGGGGAACAGGAGTCACCCCCTTCATTCAGCAAGTCTAAAGCAGGAGGG